TATCTAGGCAGCATATAATCACTCTCTCTCTCTCTCTCTCTCATTTGGCGCTATGAATAAAATAATAGTGTAATCGCCGGTACAATATTATAAATTATGATACTTATATTATATTTAACATCACTAATGTTAGTTAAGAGAAAGTTTTAAATAAATAAAATGCACATCTATTTTCAATATTTAATTAAAAAATAATTAGCAATGTTTACTTAAAAATTATTTATTGTTTATTTTTCATTACAATATTTACCTATCATTACAAAAATAATAATTGATTATTTATCAAAGTGCGTTGTATAAATGAATAAATGAATTTTTACTCCACAATTTAAATGGAGTTTTATTCTATAGTAAATATATTATACTAGGTCTTATATGTAAAAACTCATTTACAAGTTTTAAAGTCAATTTTGCCCGTGGTGCTATCTTTCTGGATCAAAAGTAAGCTCCTTAGCTTCCGGCAATGGCTCGGCTATAGCTGCGCGTCGATCACGTTGAAAGTGGCCGTACGGATCAGCATAGGGTCTGGCCATAGATAGAGCGAGCGGTAAGGCATCCGCACTGTTCTCACCATTGAGTGCAATAGTGATGATCAACACAACAGCGCAAAGCCATATGAACTTCATATCTATGGTTTATGTCCTGTTTTAAGTGTAAATAGCAATGTATAAAAACAATGAATAATTGCTGACCACTGTTAATTACTTACCGTAGATTTAGTTTAGCAAAAGTTGTTTTTCAATAAATGGCGACTTTACTTTTGTTAACATATGGTTTTTGAATTTTAATTATAGACATTTATAATTATTTCTATAATGAATGGGTATATGAAATTGTTTTGTCAACGTCACAACATTATTTAATTTTAAAATCAATGCTATGTTACAGCCAATTATAATGTTTATATATGGATAAAGATATTGACATAAAAATGACAAAATTTGAACTTGTGTTAAATTAAATAAACTGTATTTTTTCATTGTAAAAAATTTTAAAGAAAAAATGTTTTTCATTAAATTATATCTTTAGTCATAGTTTATGTGATCTGAATGAATGTAAAATGACAATTTGTAAGTGATTAGATTATTCAATTATTGAAGATGTAAAGTGTTTAAAATTTTTAATCAAATTGCCGTTACATGCACAACATACTTATATGATTTAGACATTTTTCCATAAAACAACCAGGTGTTTTGGTATCGTATAATATTTATAATTATATATTAATCCTATTATATAAATTGCATGACTTTTGAACATTGAAGTAACAATATCAAAGTTGTGTTTGTAATAAGTTTTAAAATGACCAAACTCTTGATACTTTCTTTACTATTGGTTTTCATTTCTATTGGCCAAGGTAAAAACTTTGTAATTCAATATGTGAATTTAATAGTTAGACCTGTAGTTTTCATATTATCTTCATTGAATAAGATATTATCTTCAGATAGTTCATTGAATAAATAGTTAAACGAATAAATTAACATTATTACAAAAGTCTCTCTCTCTCTCTCTCTCTCTCTCTCTCTATGAAAAAATATGCCAATAGTTATTCTTTTAATTATAAAACACATATTCCCTGTAAATAATAATACTATGTAAATATTTTACATTACATAATATTACGAATAAAACTAATTTGTAACAATGACAATTCATACTGATTATTACATTTTAGCCGATGACTATACTGACAAGTGTTGCCAACAACCGGGTTACGCGCCCTTCACTGAGACTCCGGGCGAGTATTCGCACCAATACTACAAATGCAAATGGGAACCTATGGAACATCAATGGTTATTGAACATGATGACTTGTCCTGATAAACTCTTATGGAATCAGCAGCATGTAAAATGCGAAACTATCTAATTTGATTATGTTTTTATGATTAAATATCAATTTAATTACTTGTAATGTTTACATGTTAGTTTAATTAATAAAGAAATAAATAATGAATGTATTTCTTGAATAATTAAGGTCTCAAAATGAGATAGGGTTTTGAATTCTCTATTTGTGAACATGATAAATTGAATTGTGATTTCTACCAAAAGTAAATACAAATAATGGATACCCTTACATAGGATTGCATAAAAATCATTGACATGAGTCTTCTTCAAAATTGATTTATTTGATCTTGATGAAACTTTGATACTGGTACCTACAAATGTCAAATTAAATTATAAATGTAATTTCACATTTCTATCAACACGGCTTCATAGTTAGGCGATTATATATTAATTAAACTAATAGAATGCAAAAGTAAAACATCTAAAACTAGAGGTACCAAAAATAAGCAGCATCGAAATATCCACAAATAACTAAACAGTTTCAGGTCCATTCCACTGCGTTCCACCTCTTATACATTTGTAACTTTTATAATTTCATAAATAGAAAATAAATCCAAGTTTATTGCTCGAGGTGCTAATAAAATAATTTGTTCAACGTTTTACTACAAATGTTAAATGTAACCTCGTTATTCCTATTCTAGTCAAAGGTTATTAATAAACTTATTATTACTGATTAAATTAATATTAAATCCATCTACTTTGTGATGATAAGATAAATGTAGAATAATCTCATAGACATAACATTAGACCAAGAAATTAAAATGTCTTAAATTTACATCAAGTTCCAATTTGAATATAAATCACAATTTAATAAAATTTTTTATTTATTTTTAATAAAGATATAAATAATCACATTTTAATTTCATTATAACATTGCGGTTAAAATTGCATAAACATCAAGGTGGAATGTATAAACATTATTTGATCATCAGGTGCCTGATTAAAAATATTGAAAATTTTATCAAAATTAGAGGTGGAAAACCGACCCCCGGTTTGACCTCACCCAAGCACCTCGGTTGGAAAAAATAATATTTCTAAATATATCGACATTTTAGATGGAAGAAATAGGTAAAGTTTTATCTTTTAAATTATTAGTGTCTATAATTACCCGATACAATAATATGATAAATAAACTATATGAATCTCAATTAATAAATACTCTATTTTGGCACAACTATTGAATTACAATTTAACATTTTCCAAGTGGTGGGAAATTTTTCTTCGATCCAATGGTTGCGACTATCGTTACAATCGACGGTCGGATCGACGATAAAATTTTTCGGATTATCCGACAAAAAATTTTCAAACTTCTGGCGTTTCAAATAACGCACAGAGTTTTCGTTTAGGTATAGTCTGACCGCGCATTTCATGCCATCGAAACGTCCGATCGGCAAACGACTTGTCAGTTAACAAAAGGTCCATAAGTTGAAAATCTATTGGACGATTTGGTGACGCGATTGTGCACACAGTGAACGCCCGTTCGGCCACACTAGCAATTGAGCTATGCATAATTTCCACGGCAGCCAAGTTGGGTAAATCGTTGAGTGCTTGGGTGGCGATTGTTTTAATGGGATTCCTTTTAATATTAAAAACATTAATATAGCAGTAATAAAATCTTTCTAGTTATATGCTTTAATTAAAGCCAACAGGTTAACTCTTATTAGATGATCTATGTTATCTAGATAATTAAGAAAAATCTTATAAATCCGCCTAATAATCTCGAAAAATTTTGCTAATGTTAGTTGTTTTTTGAATCTCCTAAGATATTTCAAATATTGTCAAAATTTTAAACATTATAAAAATTATTTTTGAACATCTGGTCAGTATCATTAAAAATTCTTTTTGAATAAATTGAATAGTATTTTGTATATACCTTAAAATATGAAGATATTCCATTTTGTGATGACCCGATACGGCTAAGGCTGGCAACGATCGGACGCTAGTGTTGTCAATGTGCAGGACTTTCAACACCCGTAGAGAATGAATGGCACCCAATAGATCCCATTCCCGGTCCACCCGTTCGCTGACCGGCGCGTCAATTATATACAGACTAGTAGTATAGGTGTCGGTGCCGTTGAACGCATGCCTATGTATGCGCTGCACTTTATTTGTCCTGATTTGAATCGACTGGAACTGTAGGCCAGCGAATACATTGGCCGTCAGTTCTTCTATATCCGTGTCGTTTAACCACAAAATTTTAAATTGCTTTTCGTCCATGGTTAATGTTTGGTACAGATTAGTAAAAATTGCCGTTAAATTTGCCACTGTTTGCCCACCGCATATTATACTACAACCACCATCTTGAATTACGCTGTTAAATACGCATGGTGCTTGAATTGGTACGCTTGGACATGTTGACAATGCACAACGTCCCGTAGTAAATAATGCAAATAATGCTAGTACATTTACTAAAGTATCTATAATAAAATATATAATTTTTAAAATTAAATAATGTTATTTATATTAATGCTACAGTATGTACTGTATATTAAATTATACATACGTTTGTAATACATTATTATAGTTGTTACAAAAGTACGTTTTGTGAATTAGAATTAATGTAATCACATTTAATGAATTAATTTAAACCATTAACATTTATGTTTTTATACCATAAAATTTCAGTATCATTCTAGTATTGATTTTATAGCTGAATGATTTTAAGAAATAAACTAAGACACAATTGAAAACGCCTTATAGATAATTTAAGCTACTATAATGATAAGCTAACCTTGGTCAATCCGTGCAAACAGTTTGTATAGCTTCTTTAATTATTGTTAAATTGATTTTCAAATAATATCGAGAGAGAGAGAGAGAGAGAGAGAGAGAGAGTGATTATATGCTGCCTAGATAAATGTAACCCAAGTTAATTTTATATTTTATGTAGATAATTATTAATTGAATAAGATCCGCAACTGATAAAAAGCGCACAATTGAATTGCACAATTTCTGCAATTAAATAATATCTATTATACATTGTATACTTATATTGATTAAGTGTGTGATTCTTGTAAATATAATTTACCCATTAAGCCCCTCGATTATATTGATACAATACTTAAAATGTGTTGTAATTTACTAAAGACCAGTAAAAGTAAGTAACCTTAATAAAAGTTACTATTGGATAAGTGCATATTTGTTAGGTGCATATTAATCAATAAATAAGCAATGACAATCATTCAATAATAATCTCCTTAGAACACTTATCCCAATCAGGATCAATTAATACTTATGATTGCAAAATGATTGTTACATTATCCAAAAATAATATAAAGGTTGTTAAATACAAATTATTTATAAAAGCAATTTTTATTTAGTAGTTTACTTTTATAAAGAAAAATAATTATTACAAAAAAAATGAAATTATTTATAGTGTTTTCTGCTTTATTCATAGCCGTAAATGCGGTGCCATTTATACGGCAATTGGATGAACCCTTTGAGGGCAAGTCATGGGTTGTGTTGGCCGCCAGTGCTAGGGGTTGGTCTAATTACGGAATGCAGGTATCGCTCTCTCTCTCTCTCTCTCTCTCTCTCTCTCGATATTATTTGAAAATCAATTTAACAATAATTAAAGAAGCTATACAAACTGTTTGCACGGATTGACCAAGGTTTTTTATCAGTTGCGGATCTTATTCAATTAATAATTATCTACATAAAATATAAAATTAACTTGGGTTACATTTATCTAGGCAGCATATAATCACTCTCTCTCTCTCTCTCTCTCTCTCTCTCTCGAAATGTTGCTAATAATTGTTATAAATTTTATTGACCGTAAAGGCGGACGTATACCACGCGTATCAAATGATTCACTCACACGGAATACCCGATGAAAACATCATAGTTATGCATTACGACGACATCGCATTCGATAAACAAAACCCAACCCCCGGTATAATAATCAACAAATATGGCGGACCCGATGTCTATAAAGGCGTTCCTAAAGACTATACCGGAGACGAAGTCACACCACAAGTAATACTACAATTTACACTAAAATTTTTAAAATAAATAATTGCAATGACTATCCATTCGCAGAATTTTTTGGGCATACTTCGCGGAGACGAGGAATTAGTCAAAAAAGGCAAACGAGTGCTTAAAAGTGGTCCAAACGATCGCGTGTTTGTCTATTTAGATGATCACGGAATGCCGGGTTAGTAAATATAATTAATTATATAATTGGTAATGCGAGTTAATTAATTATATTAAACCATATTTCTGGCCAGGGTACGTTAATTTTCCAACAAGCAATCTTATGGCTGAAGATCTGATACAAACACTAATCACAATGCATGGCGAATATAAATTTAAGACTCTAATGTTTTATTTATCAGCGTGTCATTCTGGTAAAGTTATTAACATAGTGTAATATTGCAGTATGTACTGCATTGTATCTATACTTATGCTTACCTGTATGTTAGTTATACTGAGTCTTAACTGTATGTTTGTTACACAACAACTCTATGGTTGATCAGCCCTTAGCCCTCAAGAATGTTACTCAACTCCCACTCCTATCTTGCCTTTAAATAGGCTGTATTTCCCAACTCTCGGGGCTTTTTGTCGCTTAACTCTCTTACTGTACGTAAGAGAGGTTATAATACACCCTTCAAAAGCCTTACAATTACAAGATGTAATACTAATATACTTTTGTGTTTTATTATATTAAATACTTTTACTTATTAAACCGTGTATTTAATGATAACCTCTTTTAAATAATAATAATAACTAATAACGACAGCAACCTGTGACAGTCAACCGGACACAGCGGTCACAGAGTGGGCACAGACCTAGAGACCTAAGATAGGGACCTAAGGCTCAGCGGACGGATAACAGCGCATAAGAGGTAAGATATAGGTAGCGCCCGCTCTAACGCACTCGACTGACGCCGGGAGTTGACGGTCACAGCGAATGACCAACTAATCGGCATTCATGTTGCAATATGGTGATTTAATTGTTAAAATAAGCTATATGATTTATGTGTTTTTAACCAGGCTCAATGTTTGAAAATCTATTGCCAAACAACATTAGCGTATACGCCATGACTGCCTCCCGAGCCGACGAAGAAATACATTCTGACTGCGGTGGCGACGAACGTGGCGCATGTATTTGTATGTATTTAGTTTTTATATTGATCTAGATATTAAATATACATCTATTATATTTTACAGTATTGTTTGTTTATTAACGAACACCATAATTACCTTAAATTATTTGTTTATTATGAACAACATATAATTATGTCTATTATTTATCAAATGTTCAGCGTTTAAATGGTCTTCCGACTGGCTTTATGAT